CCCTCTTTCCCGCCTCCCCTTCCTCAGGGTCTCCTGTGCAGGAGAAACAAGGACTGTCTGCACACAGCAGCTCTGCAGGGGACAGCTGGGGTTGCAATGCCACCTGCCGATAACCCAGCGCCTCACTCGCTGCGTGTCGGAACAGAAAAATCCCATTTCCCATCGCCGCTTTTAGGATGCAGGGGACTCTATTTCACCCTGGAGACATGCAGAGCGGAAACCCAACGCACAAGGGGCCGGTCACCAGCACAGCCGCCTGCGCCGGGCACCGCGGGACACCCCACCTATGGTTTTAATGACGGCCTCCTGGAACATTCTCTCCTCGTGCTCCTTGATGATCTTGGTGCTGACCCCAGCAGCGCAATCGTAGCTCCCCGTCAGCGCGTAGTCAATGCTGAGCCGCAGCTGCCTCAGCAGGGTGTTAAACACCTCCAGCACCGTGGGACCTGGGATGGCGAGAGGGGTGGAGCATCACCAGAGGAGAGCGGGAGCTTTCCCCGCAGAGACGGAGGCTGTAGTTTCCTCCAGGACAGCATGGTTTGTGCATCCCATCATCCCATAAACAGGCTGGAAAACAGTTTGGCCAGATACACAGTGACTTTTAACCCCCACACGGTCAGGACAGGAGAGAAATGTCCTTGCAGGAGCACGGTCAGCTCAGCATATTCGCAGCAAGCCCTTGAAAAATCCCTTTGCCCCTGTCACCAAGGCAAAGGCTGGTAGCGCATTCCACCCTCTGGGTTTAGGTGGCTGCCCACGGCCATGGGTGTTGCGCTTGGGAGCACCGAAATGGCACAGAAAATTCCCAGCATTCCTGGATGCTCCAGACTGAATCCCTCATCACCAACTTACACCCAGGCACAGGCGCAGCCCAAACCTCTGGCACCAATTTGTTCCCACTGCACTAAAAGGGCGAAGAGATAGACAGGGAGGATGAATTTATCCACTTACCAACAGATCCGGAGGCTGCGATCACCGCTGCCTCCGAGAGGACCTCCACGATGCCCGCACGCACGGTGGCCGCGCTCTTGCTGTTGGCATCCAGGTGCCCCAAGAGCTGCTGGATGACGAGATGGGAGTGCTGCGGCTGGGAAAAGAGCATGAACGTCAGCATGGGTGCTGCGTGCACCAGGTGACGGTCCGTTTCTGTAACCCACAGGCTGCTGGGGATGAATCCTGCACAGGTGCCCAGTCCCTGCCTGGTTGTTTCCAAGAGAGCTCTGGATGCACCTGGAAAAAACCTGTTTTACATGACTGAGCAGAAACTTGCAGCAATTTGCACAGGAAAAAACTATCTAAAGAGCTGTACAGCTGTAAGGAAATTGTGACAATTAATCCTGGGGATTTCAGGGAGAAAGGATTTGATTTTTACCAGGGTTTCCCCAAACATGTCGATACTTCAAAAGGCTCCTGCTGAGTTATTGTGACCTTATACCTCCAATACGCATTAACAGGATTTTATAAAATCTAGTAGCACTGTAAAGGGTTTTAGGCAGTTTACAGGATTAAAACCAAGAAACGAGAGCAGGAGGCGGCGATCTGCTTCTCACTGTCAGAATTCTCCAAGCAGAGCTGTGGCTTGGCTGAGTTCAACAGCGAAGCAACCCCCCGGGGGCAGCAGGTCTGGGACAGCCTCAGCAGGGTGGGAAGGCAGCACCATGCCCAACAGCATGCAGGGACCCGCACAAACACGGAGATCTACATGAAAAAAGAAAGGATGGACCTGTTCCTATCACTTTGGGGTTTACCTAAACTGCATTTCCATGGCCCCCCGTGAGAAGGGAAAAGCCTGGCAGGGTCTGTCTCTCCATATCCCTATGTCTAAGGATGGGGATGCTGGGGTGCAGGTGCTGCTGCGACGCCTGGTTTGCCCAGGGCACGTTTCACCCCAGACAGCCCCTCTCCTTTTCCACAGGGACGATGAGCTGGGATTGATTTACACAGCAGCAATCTGGAAAGAGGCAGCTTTCCATCAGAGCCCAACTGCTTCCTTCGGAGCGTTTCACAGCACGTTACTAGCCTGTCTGATTCAGCAGGGCTTTGCTTTTCACGGAGACGGAGGGAATCATTCCCGGGACTGAGATAAAAGCTCCATGAGCAGCACCCTAAAACACACAGAGCTGGCACACAGCCAGGCTAGCGCCTATCAGCCATTTCCCTGCAGACCCTTGGGGACCCCAGCCCGCACGGACACCCCAACCGTGCCTGTCTCCAGCCCATGCTGGGGTCTGTTTGGAGGCCGAGCCTCAGACAGCACGGTCGGGATGCGGCAATGCGGCGGCTCTGACTCAGCCCAGCCGTGGAGGCAGATGCGGGCGCTCCCAAGCATGCACGTGTGTCCCCAGCCAGTGCCACCAGCCAGAGTCCCGCCAGCTCCCCACCTGGATCGAGTACATGATGATCCTGAAGCAGCAGGTAGCGAAGATCTTTGGCTCCCAGAGCGAGTGGTTATCCAGGTGGCTGGAGAAGAGATGGAAGCGGAGGAGAAAAGTAACTATCGGTCCCCCAAACCGTGCAAAGCAGCACCAAGCACCAGGGATGGCAGAAGCAGGAGAGGGCAGGGACACACTCCTCTCTGGGGTGACTTTTCTCAGCGACAACTATCTGTCCGATGCCATCTTTCTTGTTGCATCCGAAAATGAGAGCTCAGCCTGAAATCCAGTCTCCGTCTGCAGTACCATGCTGCGGGAAGCCAGAGGAGCCCACGCCTTCGCCCCAGCTCCTGCCTTGGCTGTTTCCCCATGCCTCAGTTTCCCTTGTGCCAAACCCGAGGGATGCACGACTTACATGAGGACGGGTTTGATGGCGTTCTTGATGTTGCCGTACGCCGCTCGGCCCAGCAGCTCCCGCAGACACCTCTCCGCCAGCTCCGTAGGACTCTCCTTCTCCTTCTCGGTGGCTTGCAGCGGGGAGGGGGAGCGGCTGCGAAAGCAGAGGAGGGCGATGAGAGCGGCGCTGAGTGTGCGGCAGCAGTGGGGGAGAAGAGGCACAGAACCCAGCCAGGAAGGGTTGGGACAAAATAGTTGTGGTGTCTACCCGCACGGGGCCAGGGGCTACCTCTCCTGTAGCCCGCAGCCATCCCGCAGCAGCCAAACGTCACCCTGCCAGTCAGACGGAGCAGCTCCATCCCAGCAGAGCCCAGTGATACAACAGTGCTGGATTTTAGCCAGATCAGAGCACAGCATGGGTGCAGGGATTGCAGGGGAGGGGGATGTGCCAGGATGGCCCCGCTCACAGCGCCAGGCTGTGTCAGGCAGCAGGGACAGCCCCCGCATCCCTGCGACCGGGAGGACGATCACGGTGTTCAGTGCTGGAGGGGGAAGGTTCTTATCGGTGAGGACACAGGACATAACATCCTCCAGCGTGGATACAGCCTCCCAGGGAAGGGAAAGCAAAGCAGTCACGGCCTGGCTCAAGTCCCCCTGAACACACTCCATCCCCTTTTTCCACACTCCAGCTTGCTGGCCATCACACAAAGACCATGAATGCTCTTTCCCACCTTTTGCTTCAGTTTACCATAAAAAAAGGAAAAGGCACCTGGCCAAAAGCCAACTTCCCAGGGCTGATACATCTCTCTGAACCTTCAAAAGGAAAATCCCAGGAGGATTTCATGCCTGCTTCTCTGCTCTGCGCTTCTCAGCGAAGCAACTCCCCTTGAAACACCCAGCTGGTGGCAAGCAGGCAGCCGGCGGGGGGTTACGCCAGAAGAACGGAGGGACAGCGAGCAAAGGCGTATTTCAGTTCCTGGGATTCCTTTAACCTGGCTTTAAAATAACTACCTTGGTAGCATTTCAGTTTTTTTTCACGGAGGTCAGCCCACTGAAGGGGCAGCTCAGAGCCCTTGCAGACAGCGTGCCTTAACTGCAGGGACAGCGCAGAGAGCTCCACGGGAGCCACGGCGTCGTGCAGCGGCCAAGACAGCAACAATCTTGGCAGCTCCAGGTGACACGCAGAGCTCCTGCCACCTCTCGCCGCCTTTTTCCGTGAGCTGCAGGCATAAATCAGCCTCTGCCCGGCAGCAGCCCCGTCGCCCCGAAGCCGCTTGCGGAGCAGGTGGGTGATGACAGCAGCGAGCGCTCACCTTTCCGTCTCCTCGACGTGCTGTAAGTTGAAGAGCAGCGAGGGCACGATCTTGTCCATGTGCTGTGGGTCCCAGATGTTGGCTTGGAGTTCATCGTTCACTGTCTTCCTCACGACTCCTTGCAGGCCTTTAATTCCGGACATACGGATCCTGAGGAACAAATCAACAGCAAAATGCTACGTATCTATATAGAATCCACTGTTTTACATTTATATACACATACACGTGTGAAGCTGCGCAAGAAGTTGGAGAGAAGACACCGATTTCCGCGCCACTGGAGGAGTTCATGCAGGCCATGCCCCAGTTCCCAGCTCCAAGCCTGGTATATCCCAGGGCAATCCTTCTGCCTCACATCCCAGAGAGACGTGGCTTTCCACAGCCTGACAGATGCGAGTGGGAAGGGTTCTGAACCAGCTAAAATCATCCTGGCAGCAGCAGCTGGTTCCCATCCTCTGTTTTTCCCGGGAGGCCCCTGGGCAAGCAGCAGCCACGTGCCACCCGGGATGGAGAGGTGGCATCGGCAAGCCTAGCCCCTCCGAAGGATTTGGTTTGGACCTGGGAGGTCTCCATTCTCTGGCTGTGGCATGCATGGAGGGTTTTCCCATTTTGGCCATTCCCAGCAGCTGCAGAGATGAGCTGCACCCACAGGGAACATGGATATTAGGGAAACCTAGGTCAATAAAGTCATCGTTAAAAAACTCCCTACACAGCAGGATTCCCGGGTCCGAAACCAGTTCCTCAACACCCTCTGCTAATGCCAGAGAAAGACAGAACATACTTATCTGCAGAAATAAATGCATTAAATAACCTCCTCTGAGGCCTCCCTAACACGTTTTGCAAATCTAATCAAGGCAATAATCTGCCCGAGACACAATTCTCCAGCAAGGAGACAGTGAGCAAGACCAAGGCCCCAGGAAAGCAATGTGCTCCTTTTTAATTACAGGAGCTGCCAAATTTCTCTCTTCCAGTCTCCAGTGCAATGTAGCCAGCGTCACCGGTGCCCTGAAGGTCAAGTGGAAATAACGAATCTTCTGCATTACTTCCTTATTAAGGAAAAAAAAAAAAAACCAAAACCCTGAATCAGCAGCATTAAAAGGAGGCAACCTGGTCCTTGGAGACAAGCCTGCGTGAGGATTGGCAAGCCTCAGGGGTTCACCCCTCTGCAAGGCAACAGGTCCCTGGTGCAGCAGCTCTGGGAACAGCACCCACACGACGAGCTGAAACGCTGCCTTGACATCTGGGCTTTATTTAAAACTAGTGCCTGGCAGCAGCGGTTCCCTGCCCAGAGCTTCCCACAGGTGCTATGCCATCCGTGTCTCACAGGGCCTTTTTAAATACAGCGCCAACAGGCCTGGCCTTGGCAGCAGTAAACAACATTAATCTGTCTGCTTTAGTCATAATTAATCCCCCCCGGGGTACATTTCCCATCCCAGCAAAGCGAATCAGTCCTCAGTGCAGTCTGGAGAGATGTAACCACCTTTAAACGTGGAAAATAACAGACCATGTGGCTGCAGGAGGCAGTTGTTGAGTGAACATTCATTCTGGTAAGAGTCGGGGGGGGGCTCTTCCCAGCGTCACCATCCTTCATTTTGGGGCCAGGATCACTTCCATGCCTCCTGCTCCGAGCTCCAGCTGTCTGCAGGCTGCAGCCCTGGAGCAAAAGCATTCCTCACCTAAAGATGCACTGAGGCAGCCCTGTGATGGGCAAAGTGGAAGTGTCACCTGCTCACATTTTGCCCAAAGAAGAGCAGTTGGAAGCCTGAGGACACGTTTGTCCCTTGTCCTGCTGTCAGCTGTGGTCAGAGCGAGCAGAACTGCGCTGCTCTCAGGACAGCAGACGCGAACCAACTCCTCTCACACACGCGTAACACTGCACAGAACACCCCACACGGCAACGGAGGCTGGAGACATGCTGCACTGTGTCTTCTAGGCTCCTGTTTCATCCTGCCATGGAGTCAGCAGGGTTCAGTGCTTGGTAAAATGAGGGTAAAAAACCACAGCCTGAGCGCACCCCCAGCTCTGGGGCATCACCGCATCTCCATCACGGCACAAAGCCATCGGTCTGTGCAGCCTGCATCCAGCCTGTTCCCAAAAGCAGGTGCTTCCCCAGGAAAGGCAGAGGCTGAGGGCCACAGGGAAGCCCCCCCCAGAGGCGTTCGACCAGGGTCACCCCGCCGGCGACACTCACTTGGTCCGGATGTCCATGTCGTCGTGGCTGGAGTGACACATCTCGCTGAAGCGGGAGACAAAGAAGTCGTAGCTGCGGTGATAAGATGGGGTGTCCTCCTCGATGTTGGCAAACTTCACAAACTGGGAGAGGAGAAAGAAGGGGGTGAGCCCAGAGGGCACGACAGCAAAAATATTCTTAAAAAGTCTTCTCTAAACCAGGAAACGTGTGCTCCAGCAGCGTGACACAGGGCTTGGCGTGTGCTCGGGATGACAATTCGGGCTGCTCAGTTTCAGACACAAGTTCCCCAAGCAGGGACGTGGCACCACACAGTCCCACCGAGCTCCAGCAGCACCCAAGCCCAAGCTGTGAGCGCTGCAAACCTCACCGCAAGCCCCAGCGGTGCCTGTAAAGGGAATTTAGAGGTGCTACAATGCTCCGAGTTAGGGATCCCTAATATGCAGCACACACTAGTAACAGGAGATAAATTCGCCCTCGACTTCTCTCCATCCTCCCAGACGGCACAAAACCTGGCCACCATTTCCCAAATGCTGCTGCAGGGGTGAAAACAGCCTTGGAAAAGCCGGTGGAGAAACCAAATGAAAGCAGGTGCTTAACCACATCCCAGATCTTGCCTGCAGCATGAGGTCCCATCGCTCCCTTCCAGGGTGGCCAACAGGCACGGAGCTTGCCAGAAATCCCAGCTGACCAACTGATCGGGCTTTTAAGCTTTCAGGGAGAGAATTAAAGAGGAAGAAAGGATAAACACATTTTCAAGCTTTCCTCTGAATTCTAAAACTTCTTCACGAAGAGATGGAAATAAAGGATCGGGCAAGAAGGGGGAACCTCAGCTCATCCAGTCATGCTGACGGGGTTTGCTTTGAAAAAGGGAAAAATAAATACAACATCAATAGCACAAGAGCTGCCACAAAATCCAAAGCATCAGCTCCTGGATGGACCATACAGAGCATTCAGCCTGTATCACAGAATCACAGAATCATCATGGAATGGTTTGGGTGGGAAGGGACCTTAAAGACCACCCAGTGCCACGCCCTGCCATGGGCAGGGACACCTTCCACTAGACCAGGTTGCTCCAAGCCTCATCCAGCCTGGCCTTGGACACTTCCAGGGATGGGGCATCCACAGCTTCTCTGGGCAACCTGGCCCAGTGCCTCCCCACCCTCTCCAGGAAGAATTCCTTCCCAATATCTAATCGAACCCTCCCCACTTTCAATTTAAACCCATTACCCCTTGTCCTGTCACTACAGGCCCTTGTAAAAAGTCCCCCCCAGCACCCTTGTAGCCCCTTCAGGCACTGGAAGGCTGCAATAAGGTCTCCCCGGAGCCTTCCCTTCTCCAGGCTGAACAAGCCCAACTCTCTCAGCCTTTCATCATAGCAGAGGGGCTCCAGCCCTCTGAGCATCTTCATGCTGAACCACCCAACAGTGCTGGGTGCTGTGAACAGCTGAGGTTTACCCTTGGCCTGGGACAAGCATCATGCCCCGTACTTTATCTTCACACATGGAGCAAGGGCATAAGCAGCTGCTTGCCAAGATTTTGGGCAGAGAAATCTGCTGGCTGCTTTTGTGCTCCTGTGCTGCACCAGCACGCTGGGAAAGGGAGAGGATGCTCCAGTTCGAGTGATCCCCCAACCACCCCGGCTGTTAACTGGTATGCAGCAACACTGGGAGAACAAGGATGCCCATGCATTCCATCTTGGAAGCTGCTTGCTAGAAATTCCCTCCTCCAGGCTCGGAAATCAGCCAAGAGACACAAAGGAGCCCTTGGGAAAGATCCCAGACGTGACCCGGCAGCATTCAGCTGCACACACTTCCCAACCCTCCAAGCACCAGGACACCGGAGAGGCTACACCACGGTGCAGCCCGACTGCGTACGACAGCGCGGCACGAAGCTCTGCGGTCGCGCTGAGCGATCCCACCTCGCTCTGACGAGCTGTCCCGAGCCAAGGCATTAGGAATGCCACGTTCCTCTTCCAACTGGGAGGACCTAACCTACCTCCGAGGGGTTACCAGTCCACCCGGCATGTCTTAGGGTGCTCAGCACCCTCTGCACCCATGCTGCTCCTTCTGCACCTCACCTTAATTAGCGGGATTTTCTCACTTTTTGCTTTCTGCATTTGCTGGCATCCAGCCCGGCCAGGAGAGCAGCCAGCAAAGGGGCCACCGGTGCCCCTCCACAGCTGGCAAAGCCAGCCCGTCCATCCCATCGCACAGGCACCGATTAGCACACAACCGCTGCTATTAATAACGTCAACTGCGAAAGCTGGCTCTGCGCAAGCGGGGGAACCAGCTCAGCCCCGCCAGGAACCGTTCCCAGAGTGCAGGGACTGGCTCCAACTGATAAACTCCTCTTACTCACCAGAAAAATGCAGGGCTGTTATATAAGAAACCTCTGTACCAGGCAGCACGCAAAGTGAGGTGTTTTTTTAAGCTCATGGCAACTCCACGTGCAACCGGAGGCGAGGGCAGGATGCAGAGCGAGGAGCAGCAGCGGGGCTCCCCGCGGCAGCTCCAGGAGAACCGTCCCAAGCGTCCCAAGACGCATTGTGAAATAAAGGAAGGAAACGGCTTCTCCGCATCCCGTGGCTGCAGGTATCAAGCCCACACAAAGGATGGCAGCTCGTTTCGTGCCATCAGGCAACCAAACAGGAAGATCTCGTCAGCACCCCGGGGATTGCCAGCCCACCTATCCACGCCAGCAGCACCCGTGGTTCAGCTCCCTGCTCCAAGGGCAGCTTTCCCAGCCCAGCGAGCCCTGCCTGCCTCTGTCCTCAGGGAACATCCCTGCGTGGTGCCACTGTGCCTGGTGACGGCACTGGATGCAATACAGAATTCACATCTGCCAACAGCTGGAGGCAGCTGCCCTCTCTGCATCCATTTTCAAACTTCTGCAAGGGCCAGAAATTGTAAAAAGCAGCCAAGAACAGAAAAAAAAATCAGCCTCAGAGCCCCTTTGCTCTGTCAACAGGATATTTTAGGTCTCTGCCACTTGCTCATAGACACAGTTGCATTTTCCCAAGGCTTGGCTGCCCCTGCAAGAGGAGGGCCATGAAGATGCTGGAGCCCCTCTGCCATGGCGACAGGCTGGGAGAGTTGGGGGGTTCAGCCTGGAGAAGGGAAGGCTCCAGGGAGACCTTAGAGCCCCTTCCAGTGCCTGGAGGGGCTACAAGGAAGCTGGGGGGCACTTTTCCCAAGGGCAGGGAGTGACAGGACAAGGGGTGATGGGTTTAAATGGAAAGAGGGAGATGGAGATGGGACATCAGGAAGGAATTCTTCCCGCAGGGGGTGGGGAGGCCCTGGGACAGGTTGCCCAGAGAAGCTGTGGATGCCCCATCCCTGGCAGTGTCCAAGGCCAGGCTGGATGAGGCTTGGAGCAACCTGGTCTAGTGGAAGGTGTCCCTGCCCATAGCAGGGGGTGGGACTGGGTGGGCTTTAAGGTCCCTTCCCACCCAAACCGTTCTGGGATTCTACGATGATTCGCACCATGCAGCAATTACGGGAGATGCCCACCCCGGTCCCACTGCTCAGCACCAGGACACAAAGAAATAACTCAGCGAGAGCTGGACTAGCAGGAAAGTCAGCATCAAACCTCGAGGAAAAGCAACTTATTTTCACTAATGGCCACCACATCCCACCACATCTGCAGCTTCATGACTTATTTCCACTAAGAAAACAATTTAAATCCTTGAAATGCAATGTCACTTCTGTGGTTTGAAGGGGTGCAAGGCTGGGTAGCTTGGGGCTCCCATGCTCAAAGCTGACAAGCTCCAACTGAAACAGGTCTGGGATAAGCAGGGAGCAAGCGCGGAGGAAGCCAAGGAGCGTGGCTGCCTTGGAGAAGCAAAACAACGGCTGGGAAGGGATAACGCTGCCACCTATAAATACATCAGACATAAATACATCAGAAGGGGAACATCAAGGCGGGGGAAGAGCTGTTTAAATGAAAGATCAATGTTAGTTCGAGGGGAAATAAAATGGGAATGACATCAAGCTGGAAATTAGATGGTTCCTACCCAAAGCAGGGAGGTTGCCCAGCAGCCTCCTAACGAGGATGAGAAACCAAAGTGGATTTAAGCTGCAGCTCCATATGTTCACCCCAGGGATTATAGATGGGGATATACGATCACGGGATGCTGGATTTTCACAGCCGCCTCCATCGCCGCGGCCGCGAAGCCCATCGGGCCGGTCGCTGGGATCAGCCCGTCCGCAGCACGACACCTTGGCTCCGCGCGAGGAGAGAGACGCGTTTCGGGCGAGATTTCACGCCGCTGCGAATGACTCACTTGGAGCAGGTTTCTATAAACAACCTCCTCCCGCCTTTGCCATCAGCTCCGTTATTGTGAAGATTGCTTGAGACAGCACCCTCTAATTAAGCACAAGCTTGAGGCGCATTCCTCGTTAACAGATATAGGAAGAAGTGTCTCATTATCATTACTCACTTTTCTATAAAAGCCCACAAGTTCTCTGTGCCATTTGCCCTCCGAATGCCGACACGCTTGAGGAGGCAAAAAAAAAAGGCATCATTCCTGATCCGGACTCCTCATTAAAACACCCGCTGCTGACTCCTGACTGCCGTGACGGCAGCGCTAAGGAAACACCTCTCCGTGGCCCATGACCATCTCCCTCTCCACGGATGCCCGAACACGGGTGGTCTGCTCCACACAGGCAGGAAACACGAGGCAGGGCTCCGACTTTCCCCGACCCAATGCCTCCCACTGGAGGATGTCTCTGCTGAGGCTGGTTCGACAAAGCCCCTGAGGTGGGGGCTGTCACAGAATGAATCCCAGAATGGTTTGGGTTGGAAGGGACCTTAAAGCCCACCCAGTCCCCCCCCTGCCATGGGCAGGGACCCCTTCCACTAGACCAGGTTGCTCCAAGCCTCATCCAGCCTGGCCTTGGACACTTCCAGGGATGGGGCATCCACAGCTTCGCTGGGCAACCTGTCCCAGTGCCTCCTCCCCCTCCGCAGGAAGAATTCCTTCCTGATGTCCCATCTCAATCTCCCTCTTTCTGGTTAAACTCATTCCCCCTTGTCCTGTCACTCCCTGCCCTTGGGAAAAGTCCCCCACAGCTTTCTTGTAGCCCCCCCAGGCACTGGAAGGGGCTCTAAGGGCTCCCCAGAGCCTTCCCTTCTCCAGGCTTTCAGCAATGAGCCGTGAGCAGAAGGGGTATGAAAGTCTCCCCTCAGCAGCCCAGGTCTCAGCAGAGGCATTTACAACCCTGTGTCCAGGACCGTGCCGGCTCACGGAGGACAGAAGCATCGCGGGATGCAGGGCTACCTGGTCTGGGAAGAAACATTAACTCCATCCCTCTCCTCATCACACACGGCTCAGCTTAGGCCTGAGCTGCCTATGCGTATCCCAGGCACCCGAGAGAGCACCTAGCCCATCCACCCTCCTGCCTGTAGGAGGGTCAGCTCCATCTAAACCCGCTCCTAAAAAGCAGGAAGGACATACAGTGCTTGTCCAAGCCAAGCTCCAGGCACTGGCGGAGCCCTCACAAGCCTGGGTGTCAGGTACACACAGTGCTCCCAGTAAAAACCAGCAGAAAGGCTGTGCACAAGCGGCTGCTGGCTGCCAGCCAGGCTCAGCCGTCTGGATGCCGGGAAGACGTCACCTTTGTCCATCCACACTTTTCTTTTCCCCTCGTTTTACATCTCTGACTGACACATCCCTGGTCTGGCTAAGCCGTTCACTGCGAGCAGCGGATCTGCTTAAGCCAGCCCTTTTCTGAGCACAAAGAGCTTCCAAAATCCATGGGGATCACCTCCTAAGTTGGTCTATTGTCTGAAACTGCTGACAGCCCCCCTGTCATCCAGCTTGTTTAGGAAAAGCTGAATTCCAAGAGAGTGTAGGCATGGCAGCAGAGATCAGACACTGGCCATGGACAAACAGGAGGCACAGCGCACGGGCAGCACAGGTCTTGGAAACCTCACACGTGGTCAGATACCTGAGGATACACCATAAATCCCCCCCTGCAGCCACTCCCCATCCTTCCCCAACAAGGTTTCGTGCCTTGGCACTGTGCAGAGACGTGGGGGTGACAGGCAGGGTGGAAGGCTGATGTCAGCAGGGTGCTGCCACTTCCCGCTGCACTGCTACTCACCGAGTTGGTTCCCAGGATCTGCAGATTGGGCTTCTCCGACTCTAGCAGCTTTGCCACCATTTTCAGGAAGCTCTCCACGAAGAGGTTGATGCTCTGGCAGTGACAAGCCATGAGGAGCTGGTCCAGGGCCTCCATGGCAATGCACACGTACCTGGGAGCAGGCAGAGACCACGGTCACACCCCAACAGCAGCAGGGACCCACAGCCATTCCTCCTCCTCCCCTTCCCCAAACCATCAGCAAAACACTGACCTCCTGCCCTGGCCAACCCAAGGAGAAAAGTTTTACACCCAAAATACCCTTGGGACAGTTTTAGATGATGTTGGCAGCTCCCAGCATCCTTTCTCTTAGCAAAGACCCGGCTGCCCTGGGACCAAAGCTGCCAGCAACACCTTGCATCCCCCCCCAGCACCACTTGTGTGTGGGATTCTCTTGTCCTGAACCGGTCTTTATATCCCAGGAGGGAGCACTGGGCTTTATACACAGTGGGCTCAGCCTCACAGGCAACCATTCTTGCAGACCCAGCTGGTCCTGGCCAGGCGGGAGGGACAGGATGAGAACACAGAATTAGACTGACGTGCTCCAGAAAAGCTGTGCTTAAATATGCAATAGACTCTGCAAAGCATATTCACATCACCCCAAAAGTTCCTGGGGTGAACAGAGTTTCCTCCAGCAGTGCACAGAGATGATGCAGCATTGGCCACACCAGGAGTATCTCGGGCCCCATCCCTCATGGAACAGGGCTCTGTGTGATAAACAGGGGCAGGGGAAGCCCAGAACCTGGTCCAAACACCACAGCAAGAGGGGACACACTGTGACAGGTCCCTGGGAGCCTCCCTGAGCACACCACATCCCTTCAGCATCCCTCCTGATGCGGCTGAGCTCACCCACAGACCCTGGCTTTGCTGCAAGCTGCCACAGTGCAGCTTCCAGGCTATTTATTAAATCACTCCTGCAGTGCTCCCGCCTCGGAGAGGAAGCTGGAAAACCTCATGCCCCGCGATGAATCCTGATCAGTACAGAGGCAACCAGCTCACTGCGCTGCAATTGAAGAGTTTCTCAGGTGTTGCTTCGTATTTCCAAGACAAATTGGACCGGTTGCTTGGATTGGCTCGGGCAAACAGAGTTCACAGGCTGGTCCTGCAGTGATTTCTGCATCCACAGCATCTGGTTCGTCACCAGGGTGGTGGCCAGACCCCCCGGACAGGCTTCTTGTGAAATGACCACACTGACCTCCCACTGCTGGTCGCCCAACAGAGAAGCAAACCTGACCTCCGACCGCTGTGAGCAGACATTTATTCCAGCTGGACTTGCCCAAAGCACAGAAAAAAACCCAGACGGTGATTGCACCAGGCTCCAGCTCTTCCTACAGGACCTCTGAGATACCCAAACACCTGACACAGACCCAGTACCAGGACACTGGGAGTAAAACAAACTCCACAGCTCCTTACGAGCACACCGTGCCCAGATTTACCGTGACCGAAAGCACAGAATCACAGAATCCCAGAACGGTTTGGGTGGGAAGGGACCTTAAAGCCCACCCAGTGCCACCCCCTGCCATGGGCAGGGACACCTTCCACTAGACCAGGTTGCTCCAAGCCTCATCCAGCCTGGCCTTGGACACTTCCAGGGATGGACCATCCACAGCTTCTATGGGCAACCTGTCCCAGTGCCTCCCCACCCTCTCCAGGAAGAAAGCAGGAGGTGGCAAGCGCAGATCTCTTGATTTTGAGCCTCCTGGGGAGGCACACTGCCCTCTCAGGGAAAAGGAGGTGTCTGATAAACCCTGGACTCCCAGGTTCCAGCTGGTAAAACGCAGCAAGACAGATTCCTTCTCCTGAGGACTGTTGAAATCTGGGTCCAGTCTTGGGTAGATTCTCTGGTGTCTCGTAGCATGGTTGAGCTCACACTGCAGTGTGTCCTTCAGACACCTTTACAGCTCTTCCTGATGCTGTGAAAATAAGCAGCCAACTATTCCTGGATCCGTGAGGCTCCTACCCATCTGTCAAATTGGGTTAAAAGTGGCCCAGAGGGAAAAAAACATGTACGAAGACGTGACCAACAACCAGCAAGCTCCTTTCTTGAAGGAAACAAGGCTGAAAACAACATTCTGTGCCAATATCATTGCAGCAGCATGGCTTCTTTTTTGGGGACAACTGGATACAGGCCACCAAGAGGGAAAAGGGACACTTGTGGAGCGGTCACCTCTGACCTACCCCAAGCATCCTCTCAGAAACGGCGGATTGCATTGCTGCAAACTCAAAGGAACACTTTTTCCTTTTAACAATAAAGGTAACAAAAAGATGACACCCAACAGGCCCGAAATCAGAGTCATCTTCATCTTCCACGCAGGAGACAGGCACCCACGCGTTCGGCTGCTCTTTCAACGCCCGGCTGCGGCGTCTGCAGCAAATCCCTCCGCTCCAGCCAACACCGACCTACAAATGAAAGGTTGATCCTAACCCACCTCAGGCATTTCAAAGTTAGACTTTGAAAATTAGCTAGCGCTCCAACCCAATTACGTGTCTGTACGCAGCCGTGGCGGAGGGAGGAATATATTCCCCCCCCCTCCACCCACCCAGGCTTGTCATTAGATGTCAAAAAGCCTTTGAAAGCCTTTCTTTTCCCAACATAGCAAGCGGAGCCTGTTAACAGCCGCTTAACCGCAGAACATCAGGCAGAACTTTGAGTGTCCTGTCACTCCCGATGACGGGTGATGCAGATGAGGCTTTGAAGGTTTTCCAACTTTAACACTTCCTAGGCAGGCTGCTGGCTTCTCTTCCCCTGGGATGAAAGGCAGGCTGAAGTTGGCACCGTGAAGCTGAGCCGTGTTTGTCTGCCGCAGCTTTGTTCAGGAGACAACAAGAATCAATCCGGGAGCGATTTCAAAGGGAAGGAGCCCTCCCGTGCTCCCCCAGCATTCCTAATCAGGGCAGTCAGCTACTTCCAGGTGGGAGCTGCTCTCCTTGCAGTAAAGGTGACAAAGCCTTGCTGGAAGTGGGACGGGGAGACAAAGGGAACAAAGGGAACAGGGTCCAGCCAGAAGCAGGCAGGGAAGCCGGAAAAAGAAAACAGCAATCCCTGTCCAGGCCAATGCATCCCCTTCGCGTGTTCTCTGGAAAAGGGTCAGTGCGCTGCCCCACATCCTTAGAATCATAGAATGGTTTGGGTTGGAAGGGACCTTAAAGATGATCTAGTTCCCCCCCCCCTGCCAGGGGCAGGGACACCTTGCACTAGACCAGGTTGCTCCAAGCCTCATCCAACCTGGCCTTGAAGACATCCAGGGATGGGGCATCCACAACATCTCTGGGCCACCTGTTCCAGTGCCTCCCCACCCTCTCTGTGAAACATTTCTTCCTGATATCCAATCTAAACCTCCCTGATTTCAATTTATACCCATTCCCCCTTGTCCTGTCACTACAGGCCCTTGTAAAAAGTCCTCTCCCAGTCCCCTTGTAGCCCCTTCAGATACTGGAAAGCTGCAATGAGGTCTCCCCGGAGCTTCCTCTTCTCCAGGCTGAACAAGCCCAATTCTTGCAGCCTTTCATCATAGCAGAGGGGCTCCAGCCCTCTGAGCATCTTCGTGGCCTCCTCTGGACTCGCTCCAAGTGGTCAATATCCTTCTGATATTGAGGGCTCCCGCTTCTGCCGCATCCCCAAAGCTCAAGAGATGGGCATGGCGTGTAACACACCCAAGCTTGTCCTGGACAACCCCCAGCAAGCTGCAGCCAGGGACACCATTTAGCTCCTTGCCCACACCTCGCCAGATGCCCATCTGGCTCTGGAAAAGCCGCCCTGGGCTTTTAAAAGCCAGGAGGGTGCCACGGAGTCCTGACGATGGCCCAGATAAATGGAGGCTGGGAGGGACACCACACACACACAGACCCCTCAAGCACGGACAGCACGATGCCAGGGGAAACACTACACAGCTCCCACTTTGCCTGGTCCCCTGCAACTTTACAAGGAGTTTTGCACATCCCTGCCCACTCCCACGTCTCACTTTTGGAGGCAGAACATGCTCAGGTCTCTCTGCAGCGTGCTCACAGCTTCAGGACAGCTTGGAGCACACAGGAGCTGCATACCCCACACATCCCACCCCTTGCCTGGGGTCCCTCGATTAACGAGTGTGCCATCATCATGCTAATCACCGGGGTGGCTGAAACAGCCTCCCAGCCTTACCCGTATCGGTGCCGGCTCACATCTCTGATTAGCCGCTCGGAGAGGTAGGCACCAATGCGATCCAGCTTCTCCGGGGCAGACAGGGCATAAAATGTCAGCTTCTCCATGTTGGTCTTCACCAGCCCATCCTGAAAGAGAGCAGAGCAGGACGTCACGGCCTCAGACCCGGCAAACATCAGGAGCGTCTGCAGCAAACCTCAGCAGAGGTCTGGAGCGCACCAGTCCCATCCCAGTGCTTCCCTACGCCTGGTATACCAGGGAAGGGGTGTGAGGATTGCATTTAGCCTCAGCTGAGAGCTCTTTGATGCACCACAGCCAGGGGTGACCCCAATGTAAGCCTCCACTGAGCACGCCCCCCCCCGTAAATACAACCAGAACCATTTGTTAGCCCCTAGCAATGTCCCAGCACCGAGGGGGACAGGGGCAGACAGGGACAGCAACACCCCCAGGTTGCTGAGGCCAAATGACACAAGCGTGCCAAGCTGCCAGCCCCAAAGCCCACACGGCTCAGCGGCAACCTCCTCTCCTGCTCGGCTCTGCTGCCAGTGCCAGGACAAAACAGGTGCTCACCGCCTCCCCGGGTAATCCCAGTCCCGCTACCCCCACCCTGGAGCCCCTCTTCCCCTGCCTTCGCCTCTTGGCTGTGAAAAGGAGACAAAGAGGCTGGATTTGGGATGCTCCAGGAGTAGCTGGCAAGGCATCCCACGTCTCCAATTAAGCGAGACAGCAGGCAGAGCACCAGCTTCCCCGCATCCTGGAAGGATAAGCAGCTTTTGAGCCTGAAAGCCTGGCTGAAGCCCCAAGAGAGTCCTGCTCTTAGAAGCTGCTCTCCTTATGCTGCAAAGAGACGGATGTCCTCCTTCAGGTCCAGTCCCACATGCTCCCATCCATCCGACCTCAGCATCTGCCTGGGACCTTCGGGAAAGGAAGCCTGTCCCTCCAGGCCAATGTGGCTGGAGGAGCTGTTGTATTCCTGCCCAAAAACAGACTTTAAAGGAAAATCCAACCCTCCAGGCACAGTCTTATGGAGTCAAAGTGTTGCCTGCCTGCCAGGAGCCGTTTCTGGGCAGGTCAGACCGCATCCTGCTGTGGGAGAGCCATGAGAGGGTGGAGCAGGGAGCTCTGGGACGTGGAGCAGTGCCTAATTTACCTCTGGGTCCTCAGGGAAGATGTTGTCGACAAGTCTTTTGTAGCGAGGACGCAGGGCACCGCAGCAGCCGCACACACCTGGAAGAGAGGAGATAGAGCCGGTCAGCAGGGATAAAATCCTCAGCTCCAGGGCAAACACCTGCTTGGAGGTGCCCTTGGTGGAAAACATATCCTTAGATTCAGAGGGGAAGCTCGGGTAGAGGACAGGGCACCAAGCTGACAACATCCCAGAGTTTTGCAGCCAAAGGAAAAAAAAAAAACCAAGGGAAGAAAACAGCAGCTGAGAGGCAGGGAATTGGCTGGTGACCAGCATCATTTGACGTAGGACTGCAGGGTTATCTGCTTTTCTCACCCAAGAAAGCAGCCTCCAGAGACCAAGATGTCCAAAGTTTCCCTAAATCCGTGCCTCCGTGTCTCACAAGATTCTCTTTTGCAGGTTCTCAGACCAGGAGCTCTTTCCTGCACCCACTCACCCAAGGACACACTCCTCACACCCTGCCCCACGCTCCCCATGGAGCCAGCAGCGATAGAGAGCGCAGACAGCAGGACAGATAAAGAGGAAAGAGCATCTTATGAAGGATACAAAGGCAAAACCTCATTTTCTTGTCTGCAGCCCCAAAACTGAGCTGTTGAGCAACACCAAGCACCTTCGACTGCCTCCCTACGTGCCAGACTGCAGTCCCTGTCCCCCGAGGGAGGTGCCAAGTGACCTGTGTTTTGCAGGATGCCGACAAGACAACCTCAGAAAGCCCTTCTCGTCGCCCCGGCGCTCACAGCTTGAGGAGCTGCTCCCAGCTAAAAGGGAGATGCATGAAATGGGCTCAGGGGACCTGGGAATAAACCTTGACGAGGTAAAAAAATCACAGCAAAGCAACAATAAAGGTTGGCACTAACGCAGTGCTCGGCCAGCAGTGATGGCTCGAGTTAAAGCCACCAGAACCAGGGGTGGGAGCCAGCGGTCACCATGGCTCAAGTACCCGAAGACCATACCCAGCCTCTTTTTTGAAGGGGTCTCAGACACCTCAGCAGCTTGCCCCTGATCCCTGTGTAGCCTCTCCGAGAGCCAAAAAAAACCCTCACAGCAGCAACTCTGCAGGCCAGCGAATGGCGGAGCATCCCAGCTGCAGCTTCATCCCAATTCAGAGTAAAGCAGGTAGCCCTGGCCACCAAATATCCTAAACGTGGCTCCGATCCCCTGCTCCGCCTTCAGGGGACTGCCAAGGAAGGAAGGGATCATTTGCAACCTGGATACTTCGCCCTGTGCCATATCCTGTTTCTCAGGGCCGCAGAAGCCAGGGATCACCCTGTCTTCGGCTCGGGAGTGGCTGGTGGTCCAGGTGGGCTCTCGAGCATCCGTCGTGCTCCCACACACACCAAGCATGGGGATGGCTGCAGCACCGGAGGGTTCAGCATCCGTGGCCACCTCCACCGTGACACATCCCGCTGCATAAAGCTGCACCAGCACTGCCCGAGCGCTGATGAATGTCTGGAGTTTGCTTATTGAAAAAAAGGGGAGAAGAGAAGAGATTTCTAGAGGCACTACCTTTCCCAGAGCTGGTCCAAGGGCTTTGCATGCCAGGATCCCCCTGCTCCAGCACAATGCATTTTTTCCCAGGGGTCTGGCGTTACTCGGATGCTGCATCCCGCAGAGCCGGGTGTCAGCCACCCCAAAGCACTGACCTTGGCGAGCCCAGGGAAGCATGAGTAATTCGGGACTGCTTTTTGGCAACTGCCGCCGAGAAGCAGGAGCTGGGGGTTGGGGGGAGACACAAAGGCTGTGCCGGCGGGAGCCGGCGACCGCTCCCACTGGAACGCATGAGCTCACGCCTGCTCGCGCCAGCTCCCGGCGCTGGCACCGCTCGCTTCCTGCAACGTGCTCCTTCGCTTTTTTTGCGGGCGTTCGCACCGGGGGGGCAGCCTGCGCCCCACCTGAAAGCTACAGCTTGTTTGGGGGTCCCCTTTGGGGTCCCCCTTCGGAGTCCCCAGGCCCAGCAATGCTGCGGTGGGGAAGAGCTCCTTCCACCTCTCGCGCTCTCCCTGCGAACCCCTCCGCGCCTTCCCACTCTCCGATAGTTTATTTCTAAGCCTCGTATCTGCTGCTCTTCCCTCCTCAGCCACCTTCGATCGATTTTGCTCTTTTTCCAAAGTACCTTTAATCTGGCCTCTTAATAAATTCTCGTTTACCATTCACACAAACAAGCATCTGACGATCTCCTGAATCCTCTTAATAAATTCCCTTTGCCCGGGATGGCCAAGGAAGCGTGACTTATCTCACCTTGCCGAGCCCCACGTCCCTGCCAGCATCTCAGCACGGGCCATGAGCTCTCCCTGCAAAGCAGCTGGAGGGTTTCTCCATAAGCTATCCCATAAGCAAGGTCCCCTCCCCTCCTCCCACTGCCTCCTAGGTAATTATCTCACCTCCAGACATGCAACTTCAAAGTATTTTCAGGATTAACACACATTCCTAGCCCTGGGAGAGGGAAAAAGAGCCCAGCCACGTTCCCAATCCACCACCCTCATCCTGATGAATGAAGCTGAAGAGCAGACGCAGCGTGGATCCCATCAATAATAATTGCACAATTAAATCTAATGCCTTCCCTCTCACCTGACACGACCTCTGCTTCCAGAAGGAGATTTGGAAGGCCTCACCTAAGGAAAGCAGCAGCAGGAGAGAGAGGAGGACCCGAAGCACCTGCCAGGAGCAGGGATCCGGGTGCCCCATCAGTCCCATGAGATGGGGCCGACAAGCATGATCCAGACAGGGGAAGAAACCAAAAAGGGCTCAACCCAAAGCCACGTCAGGCTGCTGGTGGGCAGGATCCCACCATGGTCCAGCAGAAGGACAGGGATTCCCACAGAGAAGTGCCTCCAGGTGAGACTCTCTGGTGTGTAGTAAGAGGGCTGAGCTCCCTGCAGCCGGGCACTCAACGGCTCTCTCTTAGCCTGCTTGCATGAAACCAAGAGAAACTTCCCTGCCCCAAATCCTTGCCTTCTGTTGGTTTGCTTAGCCTGGACAAACACAGGCACAGCCAGGGAGACCATAAATCCTTAAAAAACAACAGAGTAAAAACGACATAGACTAGAGGAAAGAAGATTTTTTCCTGGTTTTATCCCCACATCAGCCAAGGGCTCTCCAGAGAGCAACAAATCCAAGTCTGCTCCAGACACCAAGGCTGAAATCAGCCCCCATGCTTGGTCTATATGGGACCCCCCAAACCCTCACAGCACCCAACCCTAACACTGAGGCTAACAACAACCCCCCAGGCCAGGCTACACGACAAGGGTCTCCGTCATTTCTTCTTCCGGACACGGGTTTCCTCCAGCACCCATCACCCTGAGCCCACACACCTCGTACCCTTGCACCAGCACCGCAGCTCCGGCGCCGAGCAAGCCACCTCCGAGGCCAAAATCCCGCAGCCGAAATGCACTCCTCCAGCCCAGGCTGGACTGAAGGTCACCGGGAGCCACCGCAGCTTCCCACTCCCAGGAGATCCAACCCAGCATCCCAGGGAAAAGCAAAGTGAGGGGGGAAGAAGGTACCTGCTCCGGCCACGTGCAGCATCTCCCAGGAGCAGGCAGGGCCGGTGGCACAGAGCCGCAGCGCGGGGCCGAGAGCCCAGGTCGTCAAAGCCATCGCATCCAGAGCCAACGGAGGGGTTCAGGGTGCCGGGTATCGCTCCTCTCCTCGCCGAGCAGCAGCCGGGGCCAGCTCAGCGGCAGCATCGCTGCAGGAGATGCTCAGCCGAGCGGGGGCAGCCGTTTAAAAAGGGAGCTTTTTTTCTGAGTCACCGAGGCAGCTCTGATGGCAGCTGGGAACGGCGCTGGCTTCGCTCTGTCGGCGTCTGCACTGGTACGCGGGGGTGGCCGCGGAGTTGGGCATTTCGGAGGGCCCTGAGCTGGGGGCCAGGGGTGATTTTTCAAGGCCCCTTGAGCCCAAAGCGCTCTCGTTCGGCACACAAAGCATCGCTCGTTTGTAGGCAGTTCTAGCAAGGGGGGAGGCTCAGCAGGTTGGAGCTGACCCCGAAAGAGCATCCAGGGAGGCAACAAACACGTGAGCACGGACACGCAGGATGTGGCACAATCTCCTCTTCCCAGCAGCCCGCCGCTGTGGGAACCCAGGACATGGGTTTGCTTAAATATCAGGTAAATCGAGGCACGGAGAAACACAACTCGACCCTCTCCCTATGGAGCGAATAAGGTGGGAAACTGAGCAGCACCCTAAGTTCCCACAGGCACCCACGACACGCGTGTCACCTCCGTCTTGCACCCGCCTGGGGTGGCATTTTCCGGGCTCTTCACTCTCAGTCACATCAGGTCACATCTGCGCTCTCGACGGGGGGCAAAGCGAACCAAAAGGACCTTTTGCTTTGATAGCTCAGCTCCCAGAAAGTCAATCTCACTGGGGATAATTACAGTCTTTCAGTCCCAGCAACTACGGTTTGCTAGCATAACCCCCACTTAGCTGCTCCGACGCCGGCATGAGCCCCGAGGCTTTTGGATAAACTCACTGCATGTGTTTCCAGGAGGGGGTTCACTGGTGCCAGCTGTAGTTGGGGTTTTTGGGACCAAGTACAGCCAGCTGAGAACAGGACATGGACCCAGCTCAGCTCCCAAAACAACACACTCTCTCCCACCAGCACTCTGACCTTGAGCCTTTCCTCATTAACCCCCTTTCCTGTCCCCATTTTAATGGCATCCTGGCAACAAGCATGGCTGGAAAACCTTATGGCCATATTATTCGAGGCCTGGAATTTATTTAATAAGGGCACTCCAACTGATTGCAAATAAATCTTAATTAAATCAGACAAAATCCCTCATAAAACCTAATATCCCATGAAGGTCGCTCTCTTAACCCCAAGCAAAAGCACCGGCCCGAGGGCACAAGGTGTTCCACCAGCCCAGTGTTGTCTTCCCTCAATCCCTGCACCAAACCAGACACCTTTCCTTAATCTGCTTAGCAAAATCTCATTTATGCAGCCAACTTGAGTCTCTCTCATACCCATCCCCTGGCTCCCTCAGTACTTTGGCACCCGGGGGGGTGAGCCTGTCCAGGGAAAAGGGTGAAATATATCTGATATGCATTAGAAATGTCACTGAGCAATATTCAAGTTGGCCCAGAGACCCATTAGTCCTATTTTTCATCAACCCGGGGGTGGGCAGAGGGATGGAGCGAGGAGCCTTAGCCCATGGGAAAGGGGGAAAAATATCAGGGAAGGGAAGAAACAAGCAATGCTGACAGGGAGAAGGGACAGACTCAGTGCTGTGAGGGATGGCAGGCACTGAAAAAGAGATGTAGGATATGGTTTGCAGCTCCTTCTCCTCCCCAAAAGCCATTCCCAGGGGAAAGCCCGCAGCCACAAGCGTGTCTGGGAGCTCCTCCGAGGGAAAGCCTGGCTCAGGTGCTCCTCTGAAGTTCTGCCACCGATTTTAGGCAGGAAAACCTAGACTGAAATCCAGCTTCTGTACCAGGCAGCCTCCATCTGCCTCTGCACCCCTCCAGAGCCAGGGCAGATTCCGATGTACATCAGCATGACCCCACAGGCCGGCAGCGCTGTAAAGCAAGCCAGTAAATCTCTCTCTAATCGCGTTTAAGAGAGCCAAACACACTGGGTACCAATTAAAAACATGTCCCGCTGCCCTTCTCGCAGTGTGCCGTGCTGGGAACGGGGTGAGGGCAGCAAGGTGTCCTGTGTCCCGGCAGGCGGAGGGAACAGCAGCTCCCAAACCGGGAGGAGAGCTGGATTAAACAGTTCAGATCAGCCCGGTGCAAAGAAGAGCCATTGGAAAAGAGCAGCCATGAAAAGATGGGGAGCCTGGGAGGTTGCATTAACCTCCACCACTTTTAATGGGGGAAGCAAAGCTGGGGAGGGGGCTGAATCCAGCTCCCCCCCAACCAGCTCTGCAGTTTCACAGAATCCCAGAACGGTTTGGGTGGGAAGGGACCTGAAAGCCCACCCAGTCCCACCCCCTGCCATGGGCAGGGACACCTTCCACTAGACCAGGTTGCTCCAAGCCTCATCCAGCCTGGCCTTGGACACTGCCAGGGATGGGGCATCCACAGCTTCTCTGGGCAACCTGTCCCAGTGCTCCCCACCCTCTGCGGGAAGAATTCCTTCCTGATGTCCAATCTCAATTTCCCCGCTTTCAGTTTAAAGCCATTAAATTTGGAGCAACGTGCTGATGTTAATTAATAGTTCCTGACCTTCCTGAACGGTTCGGGCTGCACGGGCACCGCTCGTTCCCTTCCCCCTCGGTAATCGCTGCTCATCCAAGCGTCCTTCGGTAAGAGTCAGCATCTGCAAAGGGGGTGTTATAAAAGCTGACAGCTCATCTGTGAGCAGAGACGCTTCCGAGGACGTTGAAGAAGACCGAAACCTCCAAGGGCAGCACAAGCCAGCGCTGGTCCCAGCGAGCTGCGTCTCTTGACGCCGGCACAAAGGGACAGCGGAACATTTCACGACACCGACAGCAAAGGAGATGCCGAGACGCCCGGGACTGGCGAGCCAAGGCTGCCGCTGCCAGGACGCATTTCTCCTGTCACTGAGCAGGATGGACAGGAACACGCCGGAGAGGGAAACGCTCTCCCAGACGTCGCCCGCAGCCCGCTCGGAGCTGGCGGTGCAAAGCCTTTTAGCTCAGCAATTAAATTCGCAGCTTCCCCCTGGCACCGCTCCACGCGCCGCTCTCGCCTCGCTTCCACCGACGCAGCCGGGGCTCGCCGGGGCAGACGCTGTGGCTGGGGAAGGGGAGCAAAACCCCTCCATGCAGAGCCCCAGCCCTGTGCCGAGGGTCCCCCAAACCCACGCAGGGATGCCCGAAATGGGAGCCGCTCCAGAGGCCGAATCCACGCTGGTGCCAGCACGTCAGAATCCCACCTGGAATTGCCCAAAGATGGTCCTGCCCATCTGCCCCCCGACAGCTCGAGGCATCAAATCCGGCTTTAACAACTCCGTGGTGGGCTGTGGGACATAAATTAACCCCGCTGCCAGCTTACACCAGCAACGGATTCAACATTCCATTATTTACACTTCCCTGCCCGGTCGAGCCAGCCGCTCGACACCGCAGCGCCCGCGCAAATCTTCAGCAGCGGCCAGATTAATTAATATTTCACAGCAGTGATTAGACTCGGGCATGAAGACCACACCAGCCCATTACGGGCAGAGCTGCGTGCCGGGAGGTTTGCATTACGTACCTGGCACGCCGGCAGTACCGATTTGGGGGAGAAGGGGAGTTAAGCGCCTTAATGGGTGCCTGGTTTCATTATGCAACACATGGCAGAGGGAAAGCTGTGGGGGGAAAAGAGCTTAAATAGCAGGAAATTCACTCAAACTCTGGCCTTGACATAGCTCCTCGCTGCGAGACGTTTGCTGGGTGTCACACGGACGTGGCGTGTCTGGTCCAGACCACGAAGGCGGAGAAGCTCTGAGGGTGGCAGGCGGCCCTGCAGCATCAGGACCAGCCTCTGCAAAATGCTTAATGAAGAGGCAGGTTCGTTTGGCAAGCCCAGAGCCTTGCCCCATGCAGCGCAGAGCCGGATGCGACAGGAGGGCCAAGGACATGGGAAAGCTTGAGAGTGTGAAAGGGTTTTTGAGGGAAAAAAAAAAAAAAACAACCACACAACCCCCCGTCCTGTTTTGCATCTTCAACGAAAAACACAGTAAGGATGTTTTTGAGATGCTGACCACACACGTTTCTGCGGGTTCCTATTTCCCCGAGATACGCTACAACAAAGCCCACAGCCGGTTTTAGCTTTTGGCAGAAAACCTGAGCGAACACCCTCATTTACAGGGAGACAGAAACATGACGGGACCGGCCACGGCAACACTCTCCAGCCTTTCCAGGTTGTTGGCAGTCCCTACGGAGGGGGAACTCCAATCCCCGAGGCAGAGCAACCTGCGATGGAGCAAAGGGTTCAGCCGGCAGCGAAGCATCTCTGAAAGTGCATTTTCTGGTGCAATTACTGATTGCACAAGTAATTACCAGAGTCCTTAAGCAGTCAGGCTTGGTGAGGTTTGAGGTGAGCAATGCCAAGCTCCTGGCCTGGCACAGTCACCTTTAGTGTTTGCTCCAGGCAGAGTCGTCCCCATCTTCACTGCAGGGATCAAATCCTGCCTGGACACGGCAACGCACCGGGAAAAAAGCCCTGGACTTTGCCACAACCATCAAGATTTAACACAAACCCATACGAAAGCCGTGGTCAGGCGGCTCGGGAAAGCCCCCAGCACTTCCGGCACCACAAACAGCCCTTTTTCCTCTACAAGCACTGAATTAATTTGTAGATAATTTAGTTAAAAAGCATGCCCCATCCAGTCCCACCGAGCGCTATTTATTTAGCACAAAACCCATCCGCTTGCGCGGCTGCTGGCTGTGACTCAGTGGCACGCTGGCAGCCCCAGACGGCTCACGGGGACCTCGCTGGCTCCCACCGCCGACAACGCCTCCGCCCCGGGTAGCCGAAAAACCTCATTTCCCCTGTTCCAGCTGCTGCAAAATGAAATAAAAAAAGGGAACCTTCTCTATTTCCAGCATCGCTGGAGTGGGAGGAGGCAGCTCGTGCCGGTGACCAGAAAGCGCAGCGAGGGAACGTGGAGGAAGCCAAGTGCGGCGAGACGGACGGCAGGGATACAGCTCCCAAGGCTCCGACACACGGCGCCTTCCCAACAGCTGCCAAAAGTACTGGGGGGCTTGCAGGCAGGGAACCCCTCCTGGAAACATTAACCCCATCCCATCTCCACAGATCCCTGGCTCTCC